AATTCCGTGCTTAGAATATTGTCATCTCGTGTTATCAGCACCAAATTAAAACTTAAAACTTCATTTGGAATATTGAGTCGCAGCTTCTTTTTATTCACATCAGAAATTTTGTATTTGGATATTAATATTATTTGTTCAAAGTGAAAAAATCGATCATCATTTTCACTATATTGCATTCAGATTCTCCTATCCTTAACGTCAAAAATGTGAGATAATCTCATAATTCTAGCTATTAATTCTAATCAACTTTGTTCGAAGAAAACCTCAGTAAACGCAATATTAAGAAAGTTGAATTATTCTATTTTCCTCTGACCTAAATGATTTGGACATTTAGGATTCGTTTATTCATGTTTCATAGAATGGTATTCAATTCTCTTTTATTGGTAAGGCGGGCTTCATAAAAATTCGACGCAAGACGATTGTCTTCATGAAAACCGCAACCCCAAACCCGAAAATTGGTAGTTACCAACAGTCGGTACAGATCTTCAATTTTTTGAATCAATATTTTGCTCGATCCTCTTCAAGATGATCATTCTCTTCCATTTCTTCTTTTTATTCGCAATAAATTCTCAAGTGACGGGTTACGGAAAGTCGAGAATAACGTGGCACGATTCAAAGTCATGCGCGTGGACGAAATCTGCCGGAGTCGACGGAATTAATCCGAAAGAAGTGAGGAATTCCATTGGAAAGGAGTACAATTGCGGGGTCATGGGCATCGGAGTTGTGCAGAAAATTCCGTATGACGAAAGTCAGGATCAGCTGCACGTGGTTTTCTCATCGGCCTGCGTGAAATGTGGCCTCTGTATTGCAATCGCTGATAAGGTCAGGGGTGATGGAAGACAATGTGCGCTAGATATTGCGCTTTTAGCATTTTTATCAATTTTTTATTGTCATTATTTTTAGATTAATAAAAGTCTGGTTGCGTTGCACGAGGCGATATCATGTAATCGATACATTATAAGTGCGGAAGCTGAGGTCAGGATGGGGACATTTTGTGCAGATTCTTTCTCGGGGTAAAGATTAAAGAGATGTTGAGCAGAATTATTTAATTTTCCATTTAAATAATTCGTTTTTTTTTTAAATTTAATTAAGGATATCCAAGTATCTTTTACCGTACTGACCTTCACTTTTACTCGTCCGGGGATTGATATTGGCCCTTCCCCAAACTCATAAAAGTGAAAATCACTGTGGAAAAATATCGTTCACGACTAGTGTCGTGGGATTTTTTTCTCGCGTAGTTGGCCAGTCCTCGCCTTCAACTCGGACGCCAACTCTACGCGAATAAAAAATCCCATGGCACTCGCCTTGAAATATACTATTTGATGACCTGTGCGTAAAGTGAAATTTACACATTATGATGAAAAATAGGGTTCGACACTTGTGGAAAAAGAAAAAAAAATATTATTTCAAATAATTGATTTTTCAGTTTTATAATTATTCCAGTTAATTATTATTATTAGTATTATTATTATTATTATTATTATTATTATTATTATTACAGGTATATATTTTATAACAGGTGGTAAAAATATGAATTAAATAAATTCAATTCGTTGTTTATAAACAGATAATTGAAATTGTTTAAACTTTCGCAAATCTAATTTTTTCAGGCATGAAATCGATTTCTGGTAAAATTTTGAATATGAATAAATTTGTTACGATTCCGAACGATTTTTATGGTGGAAAAATTATTGCTTATAAATTATTTATAAAAAAATGCTCTTAATTTTCAAAAATTGATTAAAATTTGTTTTTTTCAGATTTTTAAAATGTTTTGTAACGGTTCAATATCGAGATTCAAATTCAGACCTGCAAAGTTTAAATAAAAAAATTATTGTAAAATGTTTGGAAACTTGGGGTCAAATGGGGCTCCTATGAAAGCTCTGTTCGACTACAAAAGTATAAAAGAATAGTAAAATTTTCATGAGGTCTAGGTGAAAAAAGGGTCATAATCTCGATATCTTCATTTAATTATGAAATATTCAGTGAGAATATTAATTCCTTCATTCTGTTTATTTACTCTGCTTTACCAATTCACTGTGGATTTTAGTCATTGAAATTATGAATTATTTCAGAGAATAAAATCAACTAAAAACGAATAATTATTAATTTTTATTTGAACCTGTAATTTTTCCTCTTTTATTTAGATTCAGATTGAGGGAAGTTCGTGGGAGAAGATACATTGGGGACAACGTGCCGGGTTCAGTCGTCATTAAATCCACTGGTGATGGGCTGTGGCCACAAAAGTAATGTTTTTCCATCCAAAATAGTCATAATTTTCTCCCTATTCATGTATTTTTTAGATTGAAAGACAAATGCGAGGAGATTTTCAGTTCAATCGAACAAGAACATCTGTTGAAATATCTGAGGGACCGATGTAAGACTCGTAATGCCGATTTACGGGACATTTTTTGCCACGGGAAGATGGGAGCATCGAGAGACTGCCGAGGAATATTCATTCCTTGACATAAAAACCCAACATTTCTCAATTTTTTATTTTTTTCGACATGGAAAATGAAGTAAATTATTATTATTTTTTTTTTTTCAAGATGTAAAACTAAAAGTAGCATCAATGAATGAATAAATATCTATCAATTTTTTTTTATTATTCATCACAAAACCGGTTGGTTTATACAGCTATAAAAATTGATAAATAAGAATTATAAATATAAACATATGGCTTTTTAAACAATGTTTTAAAGTAGCTCTACCCTTACAGTAAATTCAAAGATTATTGAAAACTGCAAAAAAATTGCAGAAAACTCGGTTACATTCGGAATTCTAATCTTTTTCTCAATTTATCGTTTTGGTTTTTCAAAGAAGAAATGCTTAAAAATCAGGATTTAACCCAGTGTCTTATGTGAAAATCAAAATTTCCATTGTAATCACAGATTAAAATCTGGATTTTTTTTCATTAGATGTGAAAAAATCAATAATTTTTGTGACACCTCATAAAAAATAATCCACCGTTTTGCAAACAAGTTTTATTATTGATTCATAAGAGGGAAATGTTTGAAAAAATATCAATATTTTGCGAGATTTAATTTAGATAACACTGGGTATGAATTTTTTCAAATTTTTTCCACGCAATTTAGTTGAAAAATTAAAAAACTGAAAATATTGGTTTTGCATGTGATCAGAAAGTCCGTAATGATTTGGATACATTTTTCATCTACTTTCTTCACGATAAATGAAGTTAATGATTCAATAAAATAATTGAATTGAATAAACGAAATCAAAAGAGAATGCACAGGAAATATTCAATGATGAAATGGGAAAGTTCCGAGCTTAAAAGCTCTATGAAACCGTTTTCCCTGATGCAATCTAGAATTTTTTCCCACGGAATGTCTCCACCAAGTGACTGAAGCCCCGTGAAAATTATGATTCACTGAGTGATTTTTCGGGGCCTCGACGCTCTTCCGGGAAGTGACCCTTCCGATGATCTTAGCGAGAAACATTTTCCGCTGATTCCAAAGGCGCTCTATCACTCCCAGGAAGAGTGATGTGATGATACCAATGGCGAGGATGATAAATGCTGAGTAAACATCTGCAATTCTAGCACTGTGAAAGGTCGTAGCATCTTGGCACCTTGGCATATCAGGCAGCATTCTCTGTCGGATTTTGTCGATAACCCCGCGCTCATCCATTTTTAATATACTAGACAGAGTGAATGATTTTTAATTGCGAATAAGTGATAGCTAATTTTACCCAGAGAAATGATTTGTGTCAATAAATCATCTTTACCGGAACATGATAATTATTTTCTCTTTATCAGCATGAAATTCATAGTTGTTTTAACGTAAATAAGTATTTTAATGTGTGAATGATTTTATTAAATTCACTCGCTCCGCTCGCCAAACCCCATATGATCCCCATGACAGTTATTCTGACCCTTGTGACCCTTATTTAGACCCTTGTTACCTTTATTTAGATCCTTCTTACCCTTATTTGGACCCTTAATCTGACCCTTGTGACCCTGATTAGGACCTTTATTTTGACCCTTGTGACGGGCTTTTTTCGGATCCTTACTCTGAACTTTATAACCCTTAATCTGATCCTTGTGACCCTTATTTAGACCCTTCTTACCCTTATTTGGACCTTTAAGCTGACCCTTGTGACCCTGATTTGGATCTTTATTTTGACCCTTGAGACGACCTTTATTCGGACCCTTATTCTGACCATTCTGACCCTTGTGACCCTTATTTAGATCCTAGTTACCTTTATTTAGACCGTTTTAACCCTTATTTGGACCTTTAATCTGACCCTTGTGACCCTTATTTGGATCTTTATTTTGACCCTTGTGACCTCTATTCGGACCCTTATTCTGACCTTTCTGACCCTTATTTTGACCCTTGTGACCCTTATTTAGATCCTAGTTACCTTTATTCAGACCCTTTTTACCCTTATTTGGACCTTTCATCTGACCCTTGTGACCCTGATTTGGATCTTTATTTTGACCCTTGTGACGACCTTTATGCGGACCGTTATTCTGACCTTTATGACTCTTATTTTGACCCTTGTGACCCTTAAATGTGGAGTCTCAATTTCGAGTACCAAATTTTTATCATCAGAAGTCGATTTGGATATTTATAATATATAGAGACAATCACTTCTCTGGGTCTACCACATTCTCAACATCATCATCATCATTATTATTATTAATACCTCAAATTAATTATCTTCTCGTAAGGGCTGTACTGTGCCATGGGCAATGCAACGGTCGTAAAAGTGTGTTCAATCTCAATTTCTTTGAGCAAGCATCTCTCGTGTATCAGAGACGTTCTGAGGGCCCGTCGGGCTAGGGTGGCACTCGCGAAGAACCCATACCTCCCCCCCACAGCCCTCTGGAGACCCTTGCTGGTGCTCAATCGTGACTCACGTCCGTTGAACGCCTTGATATACAATTGACGCAACGCACTGTCATTCGCGTTCTAGAATAATCGAATGATCTGTGAGTTATTGCGAGTGGAGATCGATTATTTACCCTTTCTAAAATCCATGAAACATGAATAAATGAATCATAATTGTCCAAATCATTTAGCCCAGAGGAAAACAGAATAATTCAACTTTCTTAATATTGCGGTTACTAAGGTTTTCTTCGAACAAAGTTGATTAGAATTAATAGCTAGAATTATGAGATTATCTCACATTTTTGACGTTAAGGATAGGAGAATTGAATGCAATATAGTGAAAATGATGATCGATTTTTTCACTTTGAACAAATAATATTAATATCCAAATACGAAATTTCTGATGTGAATGAAAAGAAGCTGTGACTCAATATTCCAAATGAAGTTTTAATTTTTAATTTGGTGCTGATAACACGAGATGACAATATTCTAAGCACGGAATTATATTGATGAGATGAACAATAGATTAATTGAATTATCGTGTGAACTAGCTAAACATTGATAACAGTGTAGACACGCACTTTCACCAGAGTATCAACAAACATTGAACTTCAGAAATTCAAACTCCAAAGTGTGTTCTAGAAGGAATTGAATTGTCATTGTGATTGAAATCTTATTCAGTGAGCATAGGAATTAGAACATGAGCAATCATTTATTGTAACAGGAAAATTTAACAGCTGATAAATTGGGACATATGATTCTCATCGATCGTATTGCTTTTTGCAATGAGAATGATTATAAACAAACAAAAGAGAATTGAATACCAGTGTATGAAACACGAATAAACGAATCATAATTGTCCAAATCATTTAGCCCAGAGGAAAACAGAATAATTCAACTTTCTTAATATTGCGGTTACTAAGGTTTTCGTCGAACAAAGTTGATTAGAATTAATAGCTAGAATTATGAGATTATCTCACATTTTTGACGTTAAGGATAGGAGAATCTGAATGCAATATAGTGAAAATGATGATCGATTTTTTCACTTTGAACAAATAATATTAATATCCAAATACAAAATTTCTGATGTGAATGAAAAGAAGCTGTGACTCAATATTCCAAATGAAGTTTTAATTTTTAATTTGGTGCTGATAACACGAGATGACAATATTCTAAGCACGGAATTATATTGATGAGATGAACAATAGATTAATTGAATTATCGTGTGAACTAGCTAAACATTGATAACAGTGTAGACACGCACTTTCACCAGAGTATCAACAAACATTGAACTTCAGAAATTCAAACTCCAAAGTGTGTTCTAGAAGGAATTGAATTGTCATTGTGATTGAAATCTTATTCAGTGAGCATAGGAATTAGAACATGAGCAATCATTTATTGTAACAGGAAAATTTAACAGCTGATAAATTGGGACATATGATTCTCATCGATCGTATTGCTTTTTGCAATGAGAATGATTATAAACAAACAAAAGAGAATTGAATACCAGTGTATGAAACACGAATAAACGAATCATAATTGTCCAAATCATTTAGCCCAGAGGAAAACAGAATAATTCAACTTTCTTAATATTGCGGTTACTAAGGTTTTCTTCGAACAAAGTTGATTAGAATTAATAGCTAGAATTATGAGATTATCTCACATTTTTTACGTTAAGGATAGGAGAATCTGAATGCAATATAGTGAAAATGATGATCGATTTTTCACTTTGAACAAATAATATTAATATCCAAATACCAAATTTCTGATGTGAATGAAAAGAAGCTGTGACTCAATATTCCAAATGAAGTTTTAATTTTTAGTTTGGTGCTGATAACACGAGATGACAATATTCTAAGCACGGAATTATATTGATGAGATGAACAATAGATTAATTGAATTATCGTGTGAACTAGCTAAAAATTGATAACAGTGTGGACACGCACTTTCACCAGAGTATCAACAAACATTGAACTCCAGAAATTCAAACTCTAAAGTGTGTTCTAGAAGGAATTGAATTGTCATTGTGATTGAAATCTTATTCAGTGAGCATAGGAATTAGAACATGAGCAAATCATTTATTGTAACAGGAAAATTTAACAGCTGATAAATTGGGACATATGATTCTCATCGGTCGTATTGCGTTTTGCAATGAGAATGATTATGAAAAATTAATTGGAAAAAGGAATATCGAATCTACAAGTACTTGATACGATAACCTACTCGCATGTACTCATCGTCCACATCGCTGTACCCCAGCTTGAAATTATTGTGCAGGAGATCGTCCAGGGTTTTTATACCCGTCGCTTGGACCGATAAAATCGAGGTGATGAAGCCTGCGTATGCGTTGTACGTCACGAGGGCGAATATTAGGCTTGCTAAGAGAGCGGTTTTACCGGAGAGGGTGGACGGGTTCCAAGGAGAGCCTGAGAATGCAGTATATTTAATTCGAATATTTAATATTTGAATATGAAGAAGAATTTCGAAGTTCGAATTTTTTAAATTATCAATTCCGCGCGATCCAATGATCCGATTTGAATATGTCAGAGCGCATTTTAAAGCTTGAAAAAATATCTTCAAAACGAAAAAAAGTTGGCAAAATTCACTCTGCCAATCCCAAGTTATTGGCGATTGAAAAGAAAACCATTTCATCGTCTTCAGGAAGACGATATAAAATTCATCTTTCTTCAATCATTAATATCTCTCGAACGAATGATGCGATTTCACTGAATCAAAATTCATTTTCAAGCTCGAAAAAATAACTTAAAAATGAAAGAAAGGTGAGAAATTTCACTCTGCCAATGCCAAGTTATTGGCGATTGAAAAAAAGACGATTTCATCGTCTCCAGGAAGACGATGTAAATCGTCCCCTCTTTAATCATCAATATCTCCCGAACAAATGATGCGATTTCAATAAATCAAAATTCATTTTAAAGCTCGAAAAAATATCTTCAAAATAAATTAAAAATCGGCGAATTTCACCCAGCCGTCGTCGAGCTACTGACGATTAACAATTCTCAAATTCGACTCGACCCCATGAACGCAAATATCTACCTTGCATGCACATAATACTAGTACACCACAATGTGGCCTCCCCAATGCCAGTCTGCCTCCCCTTCCGCTTGCTGAGTACATTATTAGCCGCATAATTGATCGAGCCAATGGTGACAATAATAAAAAACTGCATGAGTGCAACACAAAGGAGCAAATGATTGTTGAAAGGCTGAAGAAATATGTCCCTCATTGTGCCAGACTCTGGTGGTCGTATGTAGATGTTTCTCCTGTAAATTGGTTTATTCAATCCTCAGATCATTATGTCAATACTTCCCCCCCCCCTCCCCGCCCCCTCGGCTCGTCCAATTTTCTACTTTGCAAGTCAATTTGCAAACACGAAAATCAGACGTACGTGTAACGTATCAGAGGATGAGTGAAGCTCATGTCTCGGCGGCGGTCTTCGTTTGTTGTGATGTAACCGAGCCCAATGTCCACAGCTCCGGTGTACACGTCACCCAGAAGATTGCTCCAGACTTTGTTAGTCAGGGTACCCAGTTTCTCGTGCGGCACTATTTCTAAGCTTTTGCGGGGCAAAATGGAGACTTGAGATTTTTTTGTGAATGAAAATTATTATGGGAATTTATCGCACAATTTTTTTTCAATGTTTATTCTGATTTTTTTATGGAGGGAAGTAGATTGATGTCGATTTTTGGGTGGAAATTATTGTGTTGAATTTTTTTGGAGGTGTTTGCCTACATTTTATTGAAAAATGCAAGGAATAAGAATTTGGGAAATTTATTTAAAGAAAAAAGAATCAATTGATGTCCAGTTTTGTATAAAATGTTTCTAGACTTTCAGCGGACGAAATCGTCAGTTTAGATTTTTTTTCAATTTAAAAAAAATGACAGAAAAGTTGACTGATGTAGTATTTTACATGGAAATTATTTTGTTGATTTTTTCCGGGAATGTTTCTCTACTTTTCATTGAAAAATGTGAGAAATAAGAACTTGGGAAACTTATTTCTGAGGAATTGACAATTTGGGAAATTCATTTCAAGAAAAAAAAACAATCGATGTCCATTTTTGTATAAAATTCTGGATCAAAAGTTTTTAGACTTTTATCGGACGAAATCGGCAATTTAGATTTTTTTTCAATCTTAAAAAATTATTCGACAGAAAAATTGATTGGCGTAGTATTTTATAGGTAAATTATTCTGTTCATTTTTTTGGGGGGGTTTTCTCTCCATTTTATTGAAAAATGCCAGAAACAAGAACTTGGCAAATTGGTTTCTGAAGAATTGAGAATTTGGGAAATTTATTTCAAGAGAAAAAATCAATTGATGTCCATTCTTCTAAAAAATTCTGGGTAAAATGTGTCTAGACTTTCATCGGACGAAATCGCAATTTTAGATTTTTTTTTCAAATTTCAAAAAAAATTTATAGGAAATATTTTCGCCACTATTTGAATATCTATTCCAATATTGACAGAAAAATTGATTGATGTAGTATTTAACAGGGAAATTATTCTGTTGATTTTTTCTGGGGGTTTTTTCTTCATTTTATTACAGCATGAAGACATAAAAGTTATGTTGAAAAATTTATGATGAAGAAATTCAACGAAACGGAGCTGAATTGACGTGTGCCTTTTGTTCGCGTAAAAAGTGTCCATTCGTCTCTATTTGTACTTCTCGTCATTAGAATATGAATGAGGATGAACAAATGCAGACTGTACACATACCTAGCATTCAAACTGTGCGCAAGAAAATCAATAAAATCGTTCATTGGTTGGTCCTCACTCGGTTCCTCCTCATACGATGTTATTTCACCGTTCTGATTGTCACTCGTGCCATTCAGAATGCCCACGATCATGGGGAGTCGGAAGAAATTGTTCCTGAGGGCGACATTTATCTGGGAAAAGACGCTTTTTTCATGTCATTCAATCAAGAAGACAATTAATTTACAGTTCAACTTGATTCAGGATTTGCATAAAATTTTTCGCTATCGGATAAAAAAATACTAATTTTTTTTTCTGTATTCAGATTAATAGGGGAACATAAAGGCGTTATACTCCTTCGATTGAATGTAACTCATCAATTTTTCGTGATCCTTAAGAATTTTTGGTGCTGAATGGAAACATTGTATTCGTTAAATCCGAAATTTCCAGTTTTTTGGGTTGGATAAAGGTGAACAAATTCTAACGTTGGGGCGATGTTGGCTGCCAACGTTGGCCATAATATTGGCTGCCAACGTTGGGACCACGTTGGCGGGCAACGTCGGAGCAATGTCGGCGCGATGTCGGCTGCCAACATTGGGACAATATTGACTGCCAACATTGGGACAATATTGACTGCCAACGTTGGCGCAATGTTGGGCACCTACCTTGGAGCAAGGTTGGCGGCCAACGTTGGGGCAATGTTGGCTCGCCAACATTGGCGAAATGTTGGCTTGCCAACTTCGGGGCAGTTTTGGCTTGCCAACGTCGCGGAAATATTGAATTCAATGAATCATTGAATTCAACTGAAAATGCATCGTCATAAGAAAATTAAAAATTTTCTACATATTAGCAGAAATATATTGACTGCTGTGAACGAAAGCAATTTTCCACTCAATTAATTTGATCCGATGAAGAATTTTATGCAGCCCAATTGTCGATTGAGCCCTGCTAACTGGGAGTTTGAGCATCGGAGCTCCAGGATTCCAGTATCCCAGTGGATCCACCACAAGACTTGAATTGTCATTGATCCTTATTTTGTACGTGTGAACGAGGTAGAACGATATCGATCGATTTTCCATCAACGAGTACTCCAGGTTTCTCGTTACATTCTCAGGGATTACTTCATTCGAATTCTCCCACTTGAAATTGTAGGTCTTTATGTATTCTCGAAACTGTCTGCAAAATAATCTCATGAGCTTCGAAAAATTTTCCTCGACATTTTTTTTTAAAATAATGAAATGTCGATGTGTTGAGAGAGAAAAATTGTATTTTCGTCACAAAGACTCTGAATTATATCGTGTTATTAATATATTTTTGAGCAGAATACACTTTTTGATACTTTTGATAGTGATTTTGTGGTGTGAAAATACTCCACAAAATTATAAATTAGTTTAACGCGGCAAATTAATCACCTGTTCTTGTAATTAAATATCTCTTTCCTGACGTTATAAGCACTGGCACTTGAGGTTGCAACGACAACATCCGAATTGATTCCAATCGTCAAATTCCTCAGAATCAGATCGATACTCGCGTCATTGGAGTCGGTTGTTATTAACAACCAGGATATATAATAGTCAAACAGTCGTTTGCTCGACGCCTACAAATCAGTCATTGTTCTCTTAAAAATGAATTCACGTTACTTACTGGTTATTCTTTTATTATTCATACTGTTTTCAAAACATTTTCTGCTGACGTGTGATTCAATCGATCGAGGAGAACGATTGCTCCAACTCTGTGTCTTCGAATATTCAGGGCTTCTGGTAGTTTATTTGTGAGTGTTGATTGAATTGATATACTCATTCCTTGATCACTCAGGCAACTTATGAGGGGTCTTGCATAGTATAAAATTTCATCTGATTTAAAATAATAAAAAGAATCAAGTTCCGACCATAAACTAGTAGATTTGTAACGATTGATTTTTTGGCTTGAGAAAAGTCGAAAAATCTCTTAAATTATGAGATTTATCAAAAAAGATCAAAAAATATTTTTTATGGTAAATTTAATTCTGTAAAAAAAAAGTTTTATAACATTTTTCGATAAATCGAAGAGTTTTCGGGATTTTTCAAGTTTTAATCGAACAAAAATCAGGATTTGGTGGAATTAATCAAGATAAATGTCTTTAATTATTCAGGGCTTCTGGTAGTTTATTTGTAAGTGTTGATTGAATTGATATACTCATTCCTTGATCACTCAGGCAACTTCTGAGGGGTTTTGCATAGTACAAAATTTCATCTGATTTAAAATAACAAGAAGAATCAAAATCCAAGCATGATCTAGTAGATTTGTAACAATTGATTTTTTTGACTTGAGAAAAGTGGAAAAAACTCTTAAAATATGAGATTTATCGAAAAATATCAGAAAATATTTTTTGGAGGATATTTAATTCTGTACAAAAAAGATTTTATGACATTTTTCGATAAATCGAAGAGTTTTCGGGATTTTTTGACTTTTAATCGAACAAAAATCAGGATTTGGTGGAATTAATCAAGATAAATCTCTTTAATTATTCAAGGCTTCTGGTAGTTTATTTGTAAGTGATGATTGAATTGATATACTCATTCCTTGATCACTCAGGCAACTTATGAGGGGTCTTGCATAGTATAAAATTTCATCTGATTGAAATCAATAAAAAGTATCAAAATCCAAGCATGAACTAGTAGATTTGTAACAATTGATTTTTTTGACTTGAGAAAAGTCGAAAAATCTCTTAAATTATGGCATTTATCAAAAAACATCAGAAGACTTTTTTGTGGGAAATATAATTCTCTAGAAAAAATCTTTTTACATATTTTTTGCCAAATCGAATAGTCTCCAAGATTTTTCCATTCTTATTCAGACGAAACTCAAGATTCAGTGGAATTAAGAAAGAAACTCACTATTCCCGTTCGATAAATCATCAAATAACACAATCTGCTCCCAGAATCTGAACTTGGCGTATTCCATCATCAATTGGAGTGTCAATGGCGATGGTGGTGGATGCATTTGCCCCTGATTGCCATTTAAAATCACAAAAAACAGGAAAATTATGGTGAATTCACGAGTTTTTATGGCCATAATGCTGTGGCTTCACGTGTGGTTTGATAAATGTCAGACAGTCTACCGTCAAAACCTCAAGAACATCAGCCCTAGAAATAGTTAATGTGCACTTGATGGGAAGATCGATTGATCCGACGAGATACCGATCATCTATTTCTTCAAACATTCATTAATTGCTTTTTACTTCATATCGGTGATAATTCTGGCATTATCCCTGGGCGAAGATTTCCCTGGGGAGTGACTAATGTTCTGGATATTATGGAAATGGATTGGAGTCTGTTCTGTTTGTCTGTTCAGTGACGACACAAACGCCTTAATTTCTTAAATCTTTTTGTGAACAAATTCAGAACAAAAAAAATATTAACAGAAATATGTTGTTTTGTTTTTATGTAACGCAGGTTTTGTTCGATTGTTCGCTAATGAATGAATGGAATTGAATCTTTTGTTTTCAAATGTAGGTATTGTTGAGCCCTATCGATCGCCATTGATTAAAATATAATTCATCGATTAGTTTTTTAATTTTCGAATTTTTTCGAAAATCGGATGGCCCACGATAACTAAAAAAAATGTTCTGAATTGATTGAATGATGGCTTAAAAAATTTGTTTAGATGTCCTTTTAACCGAGTTGGAAGATGAAGGCGATAGCAATAATCATTATTTTGATTTATTTGAAAATTTGCAAAAATTTTGTATTTTTTGAAAATCAGAATTCCGGGGATATCTTTGAATATCATGCTTCAAAGATGATTACGATAGCTATATTGGTTGATTTGATTTTTATGATGATTGTTAAAAATTTCGAATTTTTCACGAATTTCCCTGAAAGTGAGCTTTCTGATGGTTTCTTCAAATGTGATGTTTCAAATTCATTCAAGTATGTGTAAATAAAATTTTTCTATTAACATTTTATCGAAGGGCTGAGGGGAGAGATAGAACTGTAAAAAAGACAATCGGTGGTATAGAAGAAAGGGATAATAAGAATAATGATGATTATAACATTCAACCGAGTTGAAAATCTGACAAAATTAGTTGAAAAGAAATCTTATTCAACTTAATAAAATGAAATAAACAATGAATTATACATGATAGAAGGAAATGGTGTGCAATTATTATCAAAAATAAAGAATCTTCTTCATCTCCTTAAAATATAGAGAAATACAAACTTGAAAAAGTCGGGCTAAAGAAAGTCAATGAAAAATTAAATCAGTAATAAATTTCAATAACAATTGAATTTTTTTCACGTGTCAATTTTGCTCAAGAAACATTACGAAATAATTCAGGTGAGCACTAGGATTGGGGTCAGTTATGCGCCGTATAAGCGTATTTGACTGGACGACCAAAGAAAACAGAAAATAATAAATCAGTAACTGTCTGCGATGCATTGCGATTACATCGTTTGATTCGAGTGTTTGGGGTCTCCGTGAATTTTTTTTTTCGCACTTGCGGGGGATCTGATTAGAGGAAACTGGAGAATGTCGCCTGGTGCGGTCGATCCGAGGATAATTGTGGATAAATATCAGGATGATGAGGAGGGTGTTGAGGATGTGGTGAAGAAAAAGGAGAGGCGATGGTTTGAATTCGAGACAGAGCTCATTTGGACCAACATCGTTGGGATTGTTGGCTTCCACCTACTGTCACTGTACTTTATGATTACTTTTGAATATAGGAAGGAAATTGTTCTAGTCCTCTGGAGTAAGTGGTGATTTTATTCTTTATCAAGTGTTTGCAGAGAATAATTCATTGAATCGTGTTTTTTCCTCAAATTTTGCTGCTGAGTTTGGAGAAGCGGAAAATTAATGCAAATTGTGTGACGCAAATTTTTGTCTCGATATCAAATAAAATTATTGATCCATTTTAAATCAATCCAGATGTTGGAAAAATTTTTTCCTTAATTTCTTATGTTTCATCATTGATTATTGTGCGTTGACAGAGAATAATTCCCTAAATGACGTGTTTATTCTCTAATTTTGCTGTTGCATTTAATTTATCGAGGATTAAAAATACGAGGAGTTGAAAATTAATGTAAATTATTGTGTGACAAAAATTTCTGGCTCAAGATCAACTAAATTCATTGATTCATTTTAAATTAATCCAAAAGTTGGAATGAAATTTCCTCAATTTCTTATGTTTAATAATTAATTATTGAATGTGAGCAAAGAATAATTCACTAAATGAAGTTTTTCGTTTCTCTAATTTTGGTGTTGCATTTGAGTTATCAAGGATTAAAAATATGAGGAGTTGAAAATTAATGTAAATTATTAAAATTAATATAAATATTGTATCATTTCAAATCAATCAAGAAAAAATTTTTAAAAATCATTGAAAAAAAAATTCCTCAAATTCTTATGTTCAAGCATTTGTCATGTGTCAATTAAGTGGATTTGGAGTGACCGGTGGTGCCCACAGACTCTGGACCCATCGAGGTTACAAAGCTAAATTACCACTTAGAATTATTCTAGCTATTCTCTACGCATCTGCGGGAATGGTAATGGCAATTGATTAAATTTACAACGAGACCACTCAATGCAGAACAATCAGTAGCACTTATTCGCCGATAAATTTGTAGAATCCAATCTACGATTGGGTGAGGGATCACCGAGTGCACCACAAGTACACGGAGACAGATGCGGATCCCCATAATTCTAAAAGAGGCTTTTGGTTCTCTCACGTGGGGTGGCTGATGATGAAGAAGCATCCCGAGGTCCATCGACGGGGACGGAGTCTAGATATGAGTGATGTGGAGGCTGATCCTGTAGTCATGTTCGTCGATCGGTAATTATTTTGGGATCAGGGGGCTAAATGGACACTTTAAACTTTTTTTTACCCCGAATGAACGTATTGTATGCATTATATGTTGTTGAAAAAATTCATTTTGAAATCAATATTTAGAAGAAGGTAAAAAAAATTAACGTTGGGGCAATGTTGGCTGTGAACGTTGGGCTAATGTTGGCTGCCAACGTTGAGACAATGTTAACTATTAACGTTGTGCCAATATTGGCGGCCAACGTTGGGCCAATGTTGGCTGTCAACGTTGGGACTATATTGGCTGCCAGCATTAAGGCAGTATTGAATTCAATAAATCATTAAATTCAATTGAAAATACATCGTCAGAAAAATTCCATCCGGCAGCCAATTCCCAATTTAATTCATAACTCAATCGAATTATGCATATTAATAAAATTGCTAAAGTGTCCAATTTGGCCAATCTTAATGGCATTATAATATGTTATGATAATCATCCCCAGACACAACACGAAATTAATTAATGCGAGTACCAGTAGATACTATTCCGTTGATAATTTTTTCAGGCATTTCACTCTCTTCAAGATAATCTTCTGCTTCATAGTACCAATTCTCATCCCTGTTTACTTATTTAATCAAAATTGGAAAGCAACCATCATCTCAGAGCTCTTCATCAGGTATCCCATTGTCCTCAACGGGACATGGTCAGTCAACAGTTTTGCGCACATATGGGGCTATCGCACTTATGACAAGTAAAACGCCATTTTTAATTATTCATTTGCGTCTTCCATCCTTTGTTTTTGCATTTCGTTATTTTTCATCATTCCTCCAGATCGATAAAACCCACCGAAAACTTCATGGTGGCCATAGTGAGCGTCGGTGAAGGCTGGCACAACTATCACCACGTCTTCCCATGGGACTACAAAGCCGCTGAATTTGGAAATCTAATGCTGAATCCCACAACCGCCTGGCTCGATTTATTCGCTAAAATCGGATGGGCGTACGACTTGAGGGAAGCATCGCCTGATCTCGTACGGAAAATTACAGAGCGCCGAGGAGACGGCTCGCATCATCTCTACAGTCAGCACATAGCAGCCAACAACAGCGCAAAATCCGAATAAAGATAGACAATTTTATTCTCAACGACAGAGACTCATCAATGAAAAAAAAATCAGTTCCATGTGATTCTTTAGTTTAAGTCCATCAACTTGCCCATCGTTCTGTTATCACAAATCATTTTGATAAAGAATAATCTTCATTCAAATGTTTTATCTACGATTTTTATCAACCCTCTCCCCGAATACGTTCTAGCAAGACGACAAATACTAACCGATTCGTCTTTAAAAATCATGAAAACTTATTTCAAATTGATTTCATCGCTGTCGTCAAACTCGTTAAACTCACCGGCTAATCGAATGCGATGAGTCGTCGCAATTCTAATTGTCTCGAAATTTTTATCACTGATAAGGGCTGGTGTGATGCTACTAAACTTGGAATACACGCACACGTACAAATGCACACATGTGGATTTTCAATTTGTTTGAGTGGGCATGTGTTGAAAATACATGTCTTAAACACGTGTATTAAAATTATCATACCATTGAGACCGGTAACCCAAACCGCCGGCCAGCTATGGAATGTCATTAGTGGCTGTGTATTCATACGTTATCGCGACTATGTTATCACTTTTTTTTCCAAGCGTCGAAGTCCCTCTCTTCTAATACTATAAAAGAAAATAAAACGCCCGTTTCTTATCCATTTCCTCGTCCGCCGGCTTTAGACACATCGGCGGATCGTTCTGATTCATTGAGTTTTCAACTTCTTCGGAGGAAGCTGCAGCAGAGAGGATGACAGTTTGTAAGTTTGATATTTTCTGGGCTATTTCGGTCGTTAATTTCTCCTCCAATAATCGATGGAATCCTTCATTTTCCTTCGGAACAGCTGACTTGAAGAACAGAGCTGTTCCAGCTGAGGCTGCCGAGCCCATCAAGACGAAAGAGCCCAACGGCCTGGGTCTTGATGACATAAAGCAGGCCAAAGGTGAGAAGAAAGCTGAAGGATGGTTTCAGTTCAAGACAGATCTCGTCTGGTCAAATATCTTTGGCTTTGGCCTGTGGCACCTCATAACGTTCTACTATCTCTTCACATTTCCGTACCTGCAGTACAAAGGGCTGATGCTATGGGGTGAGTAAACAGAAGGCTTAATTACATAAGCAATTCGATAAATACTGATCCTCTCTTTCGTCAATTGACAGCTTTCATCATGGCTGAGCTCAATCTGCTGTCAATTACCGCTGGTGTACACAGACTCTGGTGTCACAGGTCGTACAAAGCCAAAACGCCCCTTAGAATATTCTTGGCTATCTTCTTCTTGGCTACAGGAGAGGTACGTCATCGATTATTTCGTCTCTTTCAAACTGATCTGAATTGATTCTGCATTGATCATTTGTTGTCTGATAGAATCGCATCTCCCACTGGGTGAGGGAACACAGGGTTCACCACAAGTACGTTGACACCGATGCCGATCCCCACAACAGCAAACGCGGCCTCTTCTTCTCGCACATCGGCTGGCAGATGATGAAGAAGCATCCTGATGTCATCAAGAAGGGACGGACCATCAACTATGACGACATGCGGGCTGATCCTGTCGTTGTCTTCTTTGACAGGTATCAAAAGACTTTCGATTGCTTGCAAAGAAGGTGGATCAACCTGGAACGGACGTAAATTCTTTCTTTGTTCTTTCTCAGACACTTCGCCTTCTTCAAGACCCTCCTCTGCTTCGTCCTCCCAGTCTTCATTCCGGTCTACTTCTTCGGGCAGGAACTGAAACCAGCCATCATCACCCAATGGTTCATACGGTATCCGTATGTTGTCAATATCATGTTCTCGGTCAACAGCTTTGCACATGCTGTCGGGTATCGCAGTTACGACAGGTAAGATTAACGAAACTTTAGGTTGATTATGAGAACAAATGGGGTATGAAGGTCTCATTGCTTTGGTTTTGTGATTCTACAGGACTATAAGGCCGACAGAAAACGGCGTCATCTCCATGGTGACCACCGGCGAGGGCTGGCACAACTATCATCACGCTTTCCCGTGGGACTACAAAGCTGCCGAATTGGGAAGCTTCTTCTTCAACAGGTGTACGTGGTGGATCAACCTTTGGGCGAAGATGGGACTTGCTTATGACTTGAAGGAGGCCGGGGAACACTCGATCAAGAGAATCGTCGAGCGCAAGGGCGACGGAAGTCATCCAATATGGACCAGCAGGGAAGATGGGACACCTATTGAGGAGCCTGAAGAACACCCCTATTGATGATTATTGTCGAGTGTTGCCTTTAGTTTTGTTATCATAATGTATCAGTATCATTAAAAATGTAAAAATTGTGATTAATAATATATGAGAGGGAATGGAGGGGAAAAGATATTGAAATTTCTTGATTTATTGGGGTGTTTCCTTGACTTTATCATCCTAAGCTCCATGATTTTCACGATTATATGTAGAAGACTGACGAGTTTGTTGGAAATAAAGGACATTACATGAAAAATACAGGTAGAAGTCTGATTTTTGGGAGAGTAGAACAGACAAAGGAGACACAAATAAACAAATAAACACAGACAAATTTTGAGGTTTATGAATGAGAATGTCTGGAGAATTCTGTCATCTGATAGAGGAAAACCTCCACCGCGCAATTTCCTGACTCCAGTTCCTTTGTTATAGCTATTGGACTGATGTAGAACAGATAAGGTCGATGGGAAATCGACGATGGGAAATCATCATATAGTCTCGAGTTGGTAAACCCGTCGAGTGTTTTCTCTCTCTCATTTCCATGGTCAAACCCATACCTTTCCCATGATGCTCACTGACATTCGAATCACGCGCCTGCGCGTGAGGGCGTAATTGTCCCGAAAATCATAATTTTCCGAATCATTTGTTCAAATAACTTTCTTATGAAATCTGAAAAAAATCTGAAACTTATACGTGTTTTCAAGAAAAATTTAATTTATCACCCACTACACGGAGAGAAATTTTTGATAAAAATTATCCTACCGTTCTATAAAAGTTTATCGTGAGTCATCGTTTTCTCATTTCTATTCCGAAGTTTAGTAAAAATTAATATATGATGATCACATTTTATTCTACGTTAGAGAAATTTTATTCTGATAAAAATAAAAATTACTTTACCGGTAGGGTACAATTTACCAACCGTTCTAGAATTTTCGTTGTTATCTACATAAAAATTATTGGACTGGAAGGGTAAAATTTGCTATGCGTCAGGATAAAATTTCTCAAACGTAGAATAAAATTTGATCATCATATATTAATTTTTACTAAATTTTGGGATAGAAATGAGGAAACGATGACTCATTATACACTTTTATAGAACGGTAGGATAATTTTTTTCAAAAATTTCTCTCCGTGTAGTTTTTCTTCAATAGTTCATTATGTTTTCGGGTGCCATGGAAATTTCCCTGACTGAGAGTGGGGTAACCTCGGAGGTTGTAGCTGGAGGGGTGACAAAACCATCCAAATTTCATTATCTTTTTTCTTGAAACTGAGATCTGAAAAAAATGTGCAAGAATTCTTAATGATACAGCATACTCAAAACTTTCTTTTGTGAAATTTCCAATTTTTGTTTTATTATTTTGACTCTTTAGGAGGAACACTTTAACTAGTTGACGATTAACTAAGACACGAGAATCTTCCGAGGGTCAATCCTCCTTTCTTATTCAGAGTGATTTACTCATCTCTCATGAGTGTTTCTCGGACATTTGTACCCTTCATTCATGGCGGCGAATGAATAGAGCTGATAAAAGTGGATACAAAGATGCAATGAAGAGATCTTTAATCAATCGAGTTCAAATTGTTCTGCAACTCTGCAACAATCCTTTATTGTGATAAATTGATAACCTGAGCCCACAAAAAATGCCATTATCGACTACTGAGGAATCGTCTGACACAGATAATTGAAGATATAAAATGTTTTCCTGACCCGGCAGTGAACTTCCCATAATCTTTAGACTTTGATACGTCTCCACGAGTCGGATGTTGGATTGGGGATCACGTGGTAACTCAGAAAAAAAAACCTGGATAATTTTGTTAACGAAAATGTCCTTTTCGAAATAACTTTCGGGAGTTCTTCTTCTTCATAATTAATGGTTAACCTCGTACCATTCGGCCGAACGTACGGGAGTTCAAGAAGAATTAAATAACATTTGTTTCAATCTGTAACACGTGCACGCAATTCTTCGATTTTTTTGCTTACTCCCCCTCTCGATAAATCGTATATATTTCCATTTATTCTGTAGTTCATGGTTAGTCACGTATAAGTACGGAATTACGTGCATAAGTACGGAATAGTGACTATTTAACGGCTCTAGGTGCGCAAGGGAGAATGGCTGCAGGTACTTGACATTTCATTTCATTTTATTTCATAAAGACCCAACAGCACAAGGGAAATTATAGGGTCAGATCACAACGTGCATAAAGTTGAAGAATGAAATTATTAATTCACAAAATTTGACGGAACAGTTATGGCGGAAAGTGTTACTCAAATTAAATATTATAATAAGTTATGCGACGAAATATACTTTTCATCACGCTGTGACGAAAAGTGAACTTTTCGGCACGCTCCGCGTACCTAAAAGTCCAATTTCCGCCACATTGTGATGAAAAATATTGTTCGTAACTCGTGAAAAAATGTTTTTAGCTCGTTACGAAATATACTATTTTGTGATACCTGCCTGAAAAGTGCCGTTTTCGAAACGGTTTAATGTGCGTAATGCGCGTGTTTTCCGCACGACGGGCGTAAAACAGAAAGTGTAGACTATAGTTCACGAGCGTGTGTAAAGTGAATACTCGTGCGTAAAGCAAAGCTTTACGGACGCTCTTCGACTTTACGCACTAGTAGCATAATATCCTAATCTATATAATTGACATAACTTTATTTTATTCCTTTTTATTTCTTCTTTCCTTATTATATTTTATTATATTAACACAATTTTCAATTAACATTTCGCACTTGACAGTATATTTCGATACGAGTGCGTAATAGTGTATTGTGTCACTAGTGCGTAAAGATCCACTTTTTCGCACGCACGTGTTCTTTTTTTGTGATACCTACCGAATTCACTATTCGGAAATGTAATGGGGGTAAAGTGATTGTTTTGGTACACAAGTACGTAAAGTTATTTTTTTTGTGCGAAAAAAAACCGGTTTATGCACACTAAACCGTTTCGAAAAGTGCACTTTTCAGGCAGGTATCATAAAAAAGTGTTTTTTGACAGGCGGGAGGGGTGTAGAATTTACCGAAGGCGATTGTGACCCTCCCAAGGGTCAAAGAACACTTCCCACAAGTGTCGAATGCCCTATTTTTCATCACAATGCGTGGAAAGTGGGATTTCACTTCACGTACTAGTGATTAAAATATTTTTTTAGGCCATGTGACGAACAATATTTTTTCTCACAACATAAAATTTCACTTTAATTATTACAATAATTTCACGATTGATGATAAAATTCATATTCACTTGCCCTCAGGTGAATCGCAGACTGTCCATGAGCCAGAAGATCTGCAGAAAATCCTGAATCCAGATGGAAAAAAGGAAAAGCGATATGCGTTTGGGTTTAGGACTCAGGTTTACTGGGGAAATGTCATTGGAATTTTCATCTGGCACATGCTTTCGTTCTACTACTTCATCACGTTCCCTTATCTGCAGCATAAAGGCCTCGTAATCTGGGGTAAGTGAACCCTCAATGCGATTTTATAGTGAAGTGTTCACTTTTAAATTTTAATAATATGAGTTATTCATTTACAGCATTTGTCCTGGCGGAGCTGAACCTCCTCTCAATCACTGCTGGTGTTCACAGACTCTGGTGCCACCGAGCTTACAAGGCAAAGGCACCTCTTCGCCTTCTACTCGCTATACTGTATTATTCTAGTGGGGAGGTAAACAAAAATAGAGAAGTGGGTTTTTGCAAAATATCTCGGGATTGAACTGAGATAGAGGAATTCTTATAATAAACTTTTTTGTAGCCCTTCAAATTTCCGACAAAAAAAGTTATTTCGAAAATTTCGCTATCTCTCTTAGATTGCGAGATATTCCCCCGAAAACTCCTCGTAAAATTGTGAAAACCGAATTAATTAAATTCTACAATGAATAATTGAATCATCATCTTCCAGAATCGCATCATTCAATGGGTGCGGGAGCACAGGTGTCACCACAAATATGCAGACACCGACGGTGATCCCCACAATAGCCAGCGTGGTTTCTTCTTCTCCCACTTTGGCTGGCAAATGATGAAGAAACACGACGCTGTGATCAACGGAGGCAATACTATAGACTTGAGTGACGTTGAGGCTGATCCAATCGCTTCATTCTTCGACAAGTAAGATTCATTCATGAGGATATGAATTCTATTGCGATAGTAAAAATTTTATTCACGAGAATAAAATTGTCATTGCAGTAGTTCAGAATTCTAATCATCACATGTCGTTTTTTCTGTCAGATTCGATATTCATTGGAAAAAAAACAATACGACCGGTGAGAATCATGTGACAATTTATCACGTTCTAATTCGATCATCATTTTCACTATATTGCATTCAGATTCTCCTATCCTTAACGTCAAAAATGTGAGATAATCTCATAATTCTAGCTATCAATTCTGTCGTGAATTGGTAAACTAGGATAAGTGCAAAAAAACAAATTTTACAGGAGAGCTGAAAAACTGTTGCTGCTTTTGTGAATAGGGTTTCGAGGGTATTGGCGCTACATTTTTCCCTTTTTATTGGGTCTTTTTTTTAGGTACCAGTATCACGCACGCAGGATGCAATTTGAGTAAAAATTCTGCACTTATCCTTAGTGACTAGATTTTCGGGAAAGATAAGTCAACTTATCTTTTTCGATGACTCAATCAACTGGATATAATATGTTGACTTATCTCCTGGTGCTCTAAGTAACGATGATAGTCAATTGACCGATTCTTTGAATAAAACGCAAAAGAAGTTCATTGTATCCTTATGACCCTCTGGAACAGAAGTAAACAATACGTCCCCAAATACATGGATCATGTTTATTCTATTTCTCCATGTTTCATCTCGAACTGTGGTCTTCGTTGGACGATGAAAACTACTCAAGGGCTTATTTTTTAAACAAAAAAATTCAGTTTGTGGGGGAACTCGGTGGGGGCAAAATGGGGTTTTCTTGAGCTTACACGATTCAATGGCGGCAAAGTGATTATTGCGGGAACATGTACGATTGACTGGGGGCAAAATGGATATGTCCTGAACTTATACGATACAATAGGGAAAAAATCGGTATTTCCTGAACTTACATTATTTAATAGGGGTAAAATGGGTATTTCGAAAATTTGTACGATTGAATGAGGGCAAAATGGGTGTTTCGAGAACTTGCACAGTTGAATGGGGGCAATGTGGGTATTTTGTGAAGTTCTGATATTTCATAGAGGCAAAATGGGTATTTCCAGAATTTATACGATTGGAAGGGGGCAAAATGGGTATTTTTTAGACTTGTGAGATTTAATAGGGGCGAAATAGATATTTCTTGAGCTTGTACGATCGAATAGGAGCAAAATGGGTCTTTCGGCAACTTGTAGGATTGAATAGGAGCAAAATGGGTATTTGGAAAAATTGTAGGATTGAATGGGAGTAAAATGGCTCTTTCCTGAACATGCATCATTGAATCGGGACAAAATTGATATTTTGGGACTTTACACCTTATTTAGGGGGAGAGGGGGACCCAAGTTAAACTTGGAAATCTGCAATGGATGAAAATAGCTATTGAATGGCTCTTGATATATGATGGGCCATCATTAATGGCACACCTGAAAAACTAGAAAGAAATCGGCCCCAACCTGTTATGCCTCATACGTTAAACGGAAACCAAATACACGAAAAAGAAGGGCCTCGTTCAATGTATGGGGAAAAATGGGTTGGGCCCGATTTGTTCTCAGTTTCTCAGGTGTGCCATCATATACCAAAGTCATTTAATTAAGGGCCACAAAGAGAAAATTGAATTTCACGAGGGTTCTAAGGGGAAAATTAAATTTCACGAGGGTCATGAGGGGAACATTATATTTCACGAGGAGCAAACGTCACGAGGCTCACGAGGGCAACACTGAAGGAAAAACTAATTTTCTCCTTCATTGCAGATTTCTTGTCTTTGTCCCTATCAAGGAGGGGGGGGGGGGGAAGAAAAANAAGTCTGCGACGAATGCAAATAACTATAATACGTAAAAAATGTATAAAATATAGTATACAGTTTTTTACATGTTAGAAATTTTGAGGGCACCCAGCAGGATCAAAGGTCACGAGGCTTACGAAGGCCAGGAGGAAAAATAGTATATTTCGATACGAGTGGGACGAGGCGTTTGAAATTTAATTTTCCCCTCGTGAGTCTCGTGACGTTTGATACAGTGAAAATTAATTTTCCCCTCGTGGCCCTCGTGAGAGTCGTGAGCTTCGTGAGCTTCGTGATGTTTGGCCATCGTGAAATTTAATTTTCCCCTCCTGGCCCTCATGAGCCTGGTGATGTTTGATTCTCATGAAATTCAATTTTCGCCTTGTGGGCCTCGTGAGCCTCATAGCATTTGATCTTCGTGAATTTAATGTTCCCCTCGCGAGCCTTGTGACGTTTCATTCTCGTGAAACTCAATTTTTCCCTTGTGGCCCTCGTAAACCTCGTGACATTTGTTCCTCGTGAAATATAATGTTCCTTGACCCTTGTGAAATTTAATTTTCCCCTTGGAACCCTCGTGAAATTCAATGTTCTCCTTATGGCCCTTGTGAGCCTCGTGACGTTTGACCCTCAAGAAATTAAATTTTACCCACGTGGCTCTCGTGACAATTGACCCTCAAGAAATTAAATTTTTCCCTTGTAGCCCTCGTAAGCCTCGAGACGTTTGACGTAAGTCCATTATTTTCACTCTTATAATTGTAAAAATTGATGTCAAATAGATGGTATAATACGTGACATATAAAACGTATTTTACTTTACGTTTTATATATCTAAAAAAAAGTGACGTAAAATACATGGTATAATACGTGTAAAATACCAGGTATTTTACTTGACGTATTTCAAGTGCCCAACCCTGAGGAGAATATGGCTACTAGCCGGATAGCTTAGTTTTGAGAGCACCTGATTCATAAAAGAATAATTTTATAACTCGAGAGGCAGTCATGTTCATAAATTGACACAATTATTCAAAATAATTATCATATAATTTTTGCCCTCTATGCGAAAGTACAAATTCAAGAAATACCCATTTTCTTCCAATTGATTCGTATGAGTTCAGAAAATACCCATTCTGCCCCCATTGAATCATATAAGGTTAATAACTACCGATTAAGACCCTATTGAATCGTACAAGTTCCCGAAAACTCCATTTTGCCCCCATTCAATCGTACAAGTTTCCGAAATACCTATTTTACCCCCACTCAATCCTACAAGTTCCCGAAATACCCATTTTGCCCCGCATACACCCTTTTAATATGGTGGACTTACGGCGTTTAAATATCCAGTACTCTTGCCTTTTAAATATTTTGTTTCGATATATTTGTTTGTGTTCAATTCCATAATTTTTAACAACTAGAAAATTGCATTGTCTATAATTTTTTTTTTCGAATAAAACCGAAACTGTTTGAAATTTATCATTCAACCAGATTTAAGGGCCGTCTTCACAAGGGTCACGTGACCCAAGTCACCTTTACTAATTACAGCCAACATAATTCCCTGATTTTCATGAAAGCCAATTTCTGACATACGGGAGTCATGACTACAGGTCGGAAATTGGGTTTTATTAAAATGAAGGAATTGTTTTGGCTGTAAATAGTAAAAGTGAATTTGGTCACGTGACCCCTTGAAAGACGACCCTTAAAATTCAAACACTGGGGTTTTATAAATCTAAACACTCGGGTGTAAAATCGAAAAATTAGATAAGGGTCTGAACAAAGAAACCGGAATGAGAGTAAAAATTAAGGTTCACTGGAATTAGGTGAAAGGGTCAAAGGAAGGGTTACGAGGGTTAGGTGCGGAAACCAGACATGAGGGTCACCAATGTACCAGAAAGATAAGTCAACTTATCCTTTTCCCATCGGTTCCACTTCGGAAGATAAGTCAACATATCTTCCAACAAGTTAATGCACTGCACTTATCTTTCTCACTTTTTCTTCATACTAGGGTCAATTTTTGTTTTTTTGCTAAATCCCTTCGTGGGTAGTAGCAGACCATTGTTGGGAAGCGATTTGGCCAAAAAACGCATTTTCGAAAAAAATGCACTTATCCTAGTTTACCAATTCACGACAGAATTCTCATCAACTTTGTTCGAAGAAAACCTTAGTAAACGCAATATTAAGAAAGTAGAATTGTTCTATTTTCCTCTGACCTAAATGATTCGGACAATTATGATTCGTTTCCTCATGTTTCACAGAATAGTATTCAATGTTCTTGTCCACAGGCGTTACGTATTCTTCAAGACTCTCTTCTGCTTTTTCCTCCCAGTTTTCGTTCCTGTATACTTCTTCAACCAAGACTTGAAAGCCGCGATAATCACCCAATGGCTGATGAGGTACCCCTACGTCGTCAACATGATGTTCTCAGTCAACAGTTTCGCACACACATACGGATACCGCAGTTACGACAAGTAATTACCCCCGTCCCCACCCCCATCACCATCATCCAGGATGACTAATCGTAATTAATAATTTGTAGGACCATCAGACCGGCGGAGAACGCGATGATCTCCCTGATGATGGTGGGTGAAGGCTGGCACAATTACCATCACGCATTTCCCTGGGACTACAAAGCCTCGGAGCTCGGTTGGGCGTTATTCAACAGGACCACCTTCTGGATAAACTTCTTCGCGAAAATCGGCTGGGCTTACGACCTGAGGGAAGCCACCCCCGAGCACATGAAGAGGATCATTGAGCGCAAGGGCGACGGCACGCATCCAGTTTATGGAGTCAAGAAAAAAGACGATGAAATCGAAGTCACGCAAATGCCCTACGCTTATGAATAATTGTCAAAACATCTTCATTATTTAATTTATGATTAGTTTAGGGAAGTCCGAAGAATTGGCAATATTTGGACAACTTCTTTTCCATCTTCTTTTTTCCATTGAAAAATCCAGTGTAACGATTTTTGAACCCTCTATTTCGCTTATCAAGTAATGTAATACGATGTCTATATATTTTTTTTATGTTGTGTAATCTTTTGTTTACAGTAATTGTACAAAATGAGACGTTAATTTCTTACTGTAATAAACAAATACACATATAACGTAGTAATAAAAAATGTAATACAGTTCTGTACTGTACAAAAACATATGTAGGATAGTATATATGTATCTAGTACATAATGCATCCCTAAAAATGAAAAAGAACATGAAAAGCAAAAGAAAAACGAAGAAGGTGGAGAGAATTATGATGATTCCGAATAAATTATTCAATAATTAAGTTCTCATTCGGAAAACTCTGTCGAAACCATTCATTTTTCCTGCATTAATCTATATAATTATAAAAATCCAAATCGACTTCTGGTGATAAAAATTTGGTACTCAAAATTAAAGGTCATGAATCTTAGCACATTAATCTCCAGGAAGCGATAATGGAGATCAATGTGCTTTGGATTCAAAAAATATTAATAACTTTAAGCAGGAAATTTGTTTGAAAATTTCAAGGAAACAGTAGCCTTCTGTTACCCCTTAAGTATTACTTCGCGAGGGAGATCTCAACTATTTGCTCTTCCACGTTATTTTCATCTAATGTACGTCCCCCTGTCAGCGCTGAGTTCTACTGCGCTCAGATACAGTAACCTTCGTTTTTCGGCCAATATTTCTATAGGGAGCATCCCAGCGATAACGCACACTGCGACCTGGGACACCGTACGGTATGTGCTCGCAACTCGCAGAGCACTCAGTCGATAGACTGGTGCAACCTTCCGCCGCGATTCCTGCAATTGCAGTGCATCAACCCAGATGGCAATGCCTTAGGTCAGCACCGACGTGACCACCGAAGACAGTAATGCTCGTCTTCCCTGTTTTGGGCCTCCTATATTAAGCATGAAGCGCGATGAGGTGGCTCTGACTGCAGATGCCTTGGCACCCCTTGCTCTGCTTGCTGCTTAAAATTGAGTTGAGCTTCGATCATCACCCCCAGATATCGAATGAATGGCTAGGAAGTGAGTCCATAGTCCCCGACTTGCAACGTTAAGGTCTCGACCTGCTTCCTGCTTGTGATCAACATGGCCTCCATTTTGTGCTCCGCCAGCTGCAGACCTACGATGTCCATCCAGCGACGAATTGCCCTGGAGGTCATGTTGAAAACAAGTTCGATGTCCTCTGGGTGTTTTCTCACAATGACTACAGCCACATCATCTGCAAACGCCACGAGGTTCACAGCGCGTGGTAGTGTCAGTTTTATAAGTCCATCATACATGATGTTCCACAAGAGAGGAACTGGCCATAAGGGTGACAGGGTATAGCAAAGTTACAACTGATTTTATATTTCCATTATTTCTCATTAATCAGTTGAAAATCCATGTTCAGGAAAATCTTGTAATCGTCTAGTTTCTAACATTGTTGCTATATGATGGCGCATTATGTCCACATCATAATTTCGTTGTTCACTGGGTTCCTTATTGAAGCACAATAAGGTGCCAAAATATATTGCGAATGCTCCACAGCAGTCGTAGATTATAAATCACCGAAAGGAACAACATCAATGTTTGCAAACATTTTCAAATGCGTGGTGGACAAAGTCTCACCTGATACCCAAATGTTTTTGATAAGGAACTTCAATAACAACGTCTTGGATTAAAAATACCATAGCAATAATTACGTAATTAATCATGTCAATCAGTATGAGCTGAAATCGGAATTACCTTCTGACAGTATAGCAACAAATTCAAATACACAAATAGATGCAATCTTTGCAAATTTTGATGATATCAATTGTGGGGTTTATGAATCGTATTTCAGTTATCATAAACCAATTTTTGCAACTCTTGGTACAAAATGCCCTATCCAAATTGAAGAAACAATGGATAATGATAACAATAACAATTTTTAAAAAAATATCAATATTGACGACCGTATAATAATAATATAATAATTGGTGATGAGAATGTCAGTCAAAATTATCATGAATGTATTCTAGTTAGTGACCGAAATATCAGCAATATCAGTAATGCCGAACCGGGCTTATCGACAGAATGTCTTGCTTGTTTTCCTCTGTAATGTTTAATTTTTTTAAATTCTGAATAATACAGCAATTTGGGATAGCCTTTGTATTCCTAGGGTTATTACGTTGTTGGACGTGGAGACTTAATCATTTCATGCGACAAACAATCGATTAAGCTTGATTATCGTTTGAATGTCTGGAGATAATCAAGGCAATTAAACGATCAATTCAAAAATAATTTGATGAGCAATATTTTCCTTTAAAATGTAATAAGAATGAAATGTCAAAATACAAAATGATTAAAAATCAACTGTAACATAACGAGCAGAAGAATAGATTTAAAAGCTGATATTTCGTCTAATTAAAGAGAATCTCAATCACTTAAGACAACAGACTTGAGTATCGAAAATTGAACGAGCAATTCAAAAATAATTTGTTTCATGAAGAAAGGCACTTGGACTAGATCAAATGAATGTTTCTTCAAAAAATGTAATCAAAATGAAATTTCAAAAGGCAAATATCAATTGAAAAGCTGATGTTTCGTCTAATTAAAGAGAAATTCAATCACTTAAGACGATAAACGTTCGGTCAAGCTTTATTATTCTTTGAATGTCCAGCGATAATCGAGAAAACAGTGAACGGTCGATTCAAAAATATTTAGTTTGACGAAGAAAGGTACTTTGGACTCCATCGAATAAGGAATATTCTCTTAAAAAAATGCAACAAAAATGAAATTTAAGAATGAAAATTGAGTAAAAATCAATGTAAAAGCTGATGTTTGTCAAATTTTAATGAAAAAAATTAAAAGAAGAAAAAAATTAATGACAAAAAAATGCGTTTCGTTGATTCGCCAAACGTGGCGCTACCACTGACGTATCGCAATTTACCCTGTTGGACTTTAATACAACGCAGGATGCTCGGAATAGTACTTAATCTGCGGCGTGCTTTCAATTCCTTCCAGTTGCGCACTTGAAATAAACCGGTGATCTGTTATTTTTTAGTCCGCAGAGTAGCGTGTCGTCGAGGATTTTTGTTGCCATTTAATTCGGAGTGAATAGAATTTTTAGGGGAATTGAGCATCAAGGCCACGTGAATTTGTTTCAAGAGCGGTGATCAATAGGACTAGGTAAGTGACAGGCTTATCTGAATGAGTATAACATCAACATAACACTATTTTATTTGTTGTCGCTGGATATTGAATTCAGAATTCATTCACATGTTGAATTCAATTTATTTTTCAACGGGATTATTTTCTGATTTCCGAGGCAATATTTTTAATCGTCGAATGGAAAATGTGATAGCTTTATTAAATGTATCCGGAAATTGTATGACTGACAATTTTATTCGTGGGAATTTTTCTATCGTCTCATCTGATAATTTTTATACAGAAAATAATTCAAACGCGGAGGTAATACAGTCCGCATTACCTCGTTATCTCTTTCGAGATAAAGTTATACATTATTTTGCTATTTAGATATAAGTGAAGGTATTTTATTCGGAATTTAAACTCAGAGTTGATTAACATCTTGCATTTGATGAATTCTCATGAAAAATAGATTCTTAGTTAATTAATTTCATTTTTTTTTAATTTTTAACGAAATTTATTGCAAGAAAAATACACGAAAAAAATTATTTTTTTTACAATAGACCATTGCCTGAGGAGCTTCAGCCAATATATTTTTATTTTCATCAAATCTGGCATTTTTAAGGGAATATTATTCATTTTTTTTCCCAATCGGATTTCGACCAATCAGAGCGCAGTATTTGAGGCTACCCGACAGTTTTATATCAGATATTGCCTCCTAGCTTTTGAATATTTCGCAGTAGTTCTTCATTTTTTTTACCTGAATATTTCGCAGTAGCTCTTCATTTTTTTCGGCTCATTTCAGATAGAATTTTACATTTGACAGTCTATGGAAATCGTGTTATTCTATTAACATGATTTGTTCAAATCTTCTCCAATTCACCTCCTGATGTTGTCCACTGCACTCTGCTTGGCCAACATCCGATTGGGAAAGATAATCCGATAAATACCCCTCGAGATTCAAAATTAATCGGGTATTTCCCTCAAGCTCCCCTGCAAACAAACCATCGTGCCAAGGTTTGCATTCTTTAACCTGCAAAACTTGACACCCTCATTTGTTTGCAACGAAGCTATCGGGAAATACCCGATAATTTTGAAACTCTTGGGGTATTACTCCTGAATATCCCACACAGGATATTCATTATTTACACTATTGTTTTTTTTGTAATTGAACATCTTGAATTCCATGAATTCCAATTAGAAATATATTTCTATTTTCAATTAATTCCGTCAGGATTGATAAAATATTCTCAAACTTTCTTTTCAATCTAATAAATTCAATTTACAATTCCAACTCCGAATTAAATGCCGTGAATTGCATGAATTCCAATTAGAAATATATTTCTATTTTCAATTAATCCGTCTGGATTGAAAAAAAGTTCCCAAACCGTTTTTTTTAATTGAATAAATTCAATTTACAATTCCACCTCCGAATTGAATGCCGCGAATTCCGTGAATTCCAATTAGAAATAATTTCCATTTTAATTGAATTCATCATATTTTATAAAATATTCTCAAACTTTTTTTTTAATTGAATAAGATCAATTAACAGTTCTATCTCCGAATTGAATGCCTAGAATTTCATGAATTCTCATTAGAAATATATTTCTCCTTCATTTTACCCCGTCATGTTTTATAAAATATTCTCAAACATCGCGCGATAATTAAAATAATCCTCGGAAAAATAAGAATTGAATATTCTCACTCGCACCTCAAATATTGCCTCAACCTCCAATCGATGTACTCAATCGTCAATTCGACCTTCAAATCAATCAACAATAGAACACTGATGTGCATTCATCCTCCAGTCCGCATAACCATTCAACATTAGAGATTCGTGCTGAAGTTAAATGAATGTTAATTATTGCACGAATGAGAGAAAAAAAAATTGACAAGTGGAAGCAGGAAAGATGGAAAGTGGTCGCGCTAGATTCGCGACTTCCGCCGAAACTTTTTTTCATTCTATTCTATTTTTATGTTTCCTCTGGGCGACGGGATTTGGATTTTTTTAAAATAAATAGAAAAAAAACATTCCGAAATGTTTACAATGGAAATATTCCCCCGGAGATTTATTTTCAGTCGGAGAGAACCTCCGGAATAACTGAAGTTTTGGTGGAAAAATTGAGCTCGAGGATGATCGTGTCTCGTTGTAACCGGTTCACATTTAACTGCATCAAGGATAATAAAAAAGTTGGGCTTCATGGGTT